CGGTAATCACGCACAACACAATACGAAAGCAGGGGAGACATATGTACAGCAGTATTACGTGTTTTTACTTACAGCGGCCTATCCTTTTTCATGCATATACAGTCGACCCCCGTTAACGTCAACCCTCAGGGTACCAGTAAAAGTATTGACCATATCAAGGGTTGACGACCACCGGGGATAGAGAATAGGCAAAATATCTAACTGCTAAATTTGAAAGGGTACCAGCGAATCTGTTGACGCTATTGGGGGTTGACGTTATCGGGGTTGACATTAACGGGGGTTGACTGTATTTGATCCACTTACTGAACAACGGCAGTACACAACAATAATATTATGGCGGTTGCTTCTTACGGACGAGGAAAACGAGCAAGAAAGGGATGCCACAATGCATTTTTAAAGGGAGTATATCTTTTCATTGCTGTAGATTAGTGGGATCAGTAAGATCAGCGGGTATACAGAAACCATATTCCTTTTCTCTTCATTGATAATAAAAACCGTACATTATATCGGATTTTTATCTATAGCCAATCTTCTGGGCGCGATGGATATTTATATCAAATGATGAGCTGAAAGCAGGATACTTTTTTTAAGGATCAGAGGATAGAAATACGATATATATAGTTTGAATAATACAAAGACAGGCTAAGAAGGAAGAAGAAGTACTGGAAAAAGGGTGTTAATGGCGGCGATGTTGTGTTTGCAGGCGACGGTTTGTGGGGACAGTGCCGATGCTATCGAGGTTTTGTTGGATTGGGATAAGCTGCTGTATGATATCACCTAGTGATTCATCATCAGCAGCACTAACAGTGACATCACTTAAATGGCGTTGCATCTGGACAAGCATTGCTTTAAGGCGCTGTGCATTTGTCTCGGTAGGTACAACAGATAGTGGTGATTGTGGACGGGGAGTGTGTGTTTGTGTGTGTTGGGTGGTGGATGTTATTGCGCTGGTGTTGGGCTCATCATCAAACATTGTTGCAGGTTTGGCAACTAGAACTTGAAGGTCGTTATGGTCGTAAAGCTTGAGCGCAAACATGTGCTTACAGGGAATATGGCGGCGCGCAAAAGTAGGGCAGGAACAGGCAGTGATATCATCATTAGTGACAGTAATCTAGAAATGTTTACTTAGAATGATATATATGCATATGTCTCTGTGCTATATATAATAATACCGTGTATTGTATTTCAAGGTTGGTGAATGAGCGAGCTGTATAAAGATTATCATGCTTTTGGACCGTTACTTCGAGCTGCTCTTCGCTTAATGCTTTTGCTTTCTGCTCTGATGCACGAAGCTCACGATCGACTGTGCCCAACCGTCCAATGCCTGATTTTTGCATGCAGATCCGTCACTTCATTCTCTTTTCAACTGTGGTAGACAGTAGCGTTGCAAGAGCATCAATACGACGGTTTCGACGACGTTCTAGGAAGCGTGTCTTGAGCTGATTGTGCCAGCTTTCCACAAAGTTATTAATCTTCATATCGACGTTGATATCCTGCTCGAAACAGTAGACCCATTCCTTGTACACTTCGTTCTGAATCCATTGCTGTTGAAAATACTCCAAGATTTACTGTTGGCTCGCCCAGCTTTCAAGAAATACATTCACACTGTCGTAGTACTCCGCTTCGGTTTGTTTATACATTAAGGCATGGAAGTCGCCAAAGATAGCCTTAATGGTGGTCTCCTTGTTTTGTTCATCATCTACAACAACTTTCTTGCGGATGTTGCTGCGCCAGGAACGCATGACGTGCCATGCATACAATCAGATTGCAGCAGTGTTCCATGTGTCCTTAATTGCCTTTTTCTCAGTGGTACTGCAATCGATCGTTACTTGTTGTGGGGTGACCCCGCGTTGCTTAAGGCCTATCAACCATTGGTATAGCGGCTCCGATGACTGATCGTTTGTTATGAGGTATGCCACAGGAAGACCACGCCCTGTTCCAGTATGGCAGATTACGATGGTGTACATGATGGTATTAGGGTAGATGGTAACATCATCCGTAGCATCCAAACAGAAACCACTGGCATTCAGCAAGTGGTGCTCTTACCATAGTGACATAAAGCCACATGCAAAGGTCGAAGAGCAGGTTCCATCTGGGAGCAGTGTACCTTGACCGTAAACAAAAGTGTAATAGCTTTTGTTCTACTCATGCTCGAGAAGCCAAAGACCGATAGACTCAAAGTCGTTGAATGCCTTTTTCGTTCTACCGACATTAACCGTGTAGTATACATTGTATACATCCTCGTATGTCACATAGCCGCCACGTCCACGCACGCCCTGTACCTTGTCATTCACGATTTGGACTACGCGCGCAACATCATCAACCTCGTCGAGCTTTTCTTGTATAAGCTTAATGAGCCTTGCTGGTTTTGGCAGATGGCGTAAGACACCAAGCGGATGGTTATGCTGATGGTAGAAGCGGAAAACTACCCACTCAGAATCATGGGTGTACTGCATAACTTGAAGCACTACAGGGCACTGGACCTTTTTAGATTTGCTTTGTAAAGGTCTTCTTTTCTTGTCAATGTGATCATCTCCTTGGCGCTCAGGATGGGGATTCTTGGTGCCCACACAATGACAATTGAAGCTGTGTGAAAAAATCACATAATGCCCGGTATGGTCTTTACACTGGACTTTTGGGGCTGATATACATACTATCAGCATATCCCTTATAGCTCATATAAAACCTTACTGTAATAAACTTACTGCCATCTTCATTGAGAATGCGTCCGTTTTCAGACCATCTATTAGCGTAACGTTTTTCCTTGCTCAGCCAGCGTTCCCCCGTTTCCTCTGGATAGCGTGCAATAGCCTTTAAGTACGTGGCATGCCACTCAACTTCTTCGCAACGAAGTGATTCGGAATTCAAAGGCAAACGAGACATGTTAATTGCGAGATTTCGAAATGAATAAAAAAACTTGGTAATGAAGTCAACAAACTACTCCGTCCCTGTCTTCGTGTTAAAGTACTCAGCTACTTATTGTACCACTACTTCCATGTTCCCTAACACTTTGGTAAGAACGCTGTGTTTGATATCGCAAGCATATGTATCACTGCCTCAATAGACAAACATGCATAATAGCAATAGTATACTAGTAATGTATGGTTTTCATTATCAATGAAGAGAAAAGGAGCATGGTTTCTGTATACCCACTCATCTTACTGATCCCACTATTCTACAGCAATGAAAAGATATACTCCCTTTAAAAACGCATTGTGGCATCCCTTTCTGGCTCGTTTTCCTCGTCCGTAAGAAGCAACCGCCATAATATTATTGTTGTATACTGCCATTGTTCAGTAAGTGGATCAAATATATGCATGAAAAAGGATAGGCCGCCGTAAGTAAAAACACGTAATACTGCTGTACATATGTCTCCCCTGCTTTCGTATTGTGTTGTGCGTGATTACCGGTCCTATTTTACATATGGATGTTGAGTACATTTAATGGCGAGCATCAGCAACGTTTGATAAGATGCACGATTTAAAATCTTGGGATGGCAGTTAGAAGCAAATCGTCATATGAGTTGCGGCGAGTATTGAAAAAGCAGCGTTACTTGTTCGTTTGTTATGTTTCTGGTTTCCGTCAACGTGTGTTGTACATTTCTTCTTCTTTTCGTTGACGTGTAGTGAAGGCGAGCATATAGATTCGTCGACGATTGCTGAACGATCCCTCTTTAAAATGCTGTGTGTCAAATTACAAAACCATTCAAAGTCAAAAAGATCTGCCATCTTTCCCTCCCTTTAAAAAGAAGCAAGCTCTTACGTTACCTTCATTAATCTTTCAATAAAAGCCTGTCTTCAACGTGTATACTATTTCCGAGTCTGCCATTGACTTTTTCTTTACTGCCATCTTCATTAATCTAATAAAGATTCAAAAGCCAAAAGAAATCGCGGTTATAAGAAACTCACTCTTTTTTCCCTCCTTTTCGACGCTGCTGTTCTTTTTAACACACCACATAATAAAAGCTTACTTTTTATGCTACTGTCCTTTTTCCATCTGCCTGCCGCCATTAATAATTGAATGCCAATGCTGTTTAAAAAAAAAGCACAAAGTCCCTCAGCTGTTGTTGTGGGCCGCCCTTGTTAATGTGGAGGCCACTCTGCTGGCTTTGAAAAAAATTGGGGGAGGGGCGGCTTAATGGGGACTCTATAAGGGAGTTGCACCTGGTGGTGTTGGTAGTTCAACAATTGATTCTGGTACTGTGCAGAATGATGTTTTCGGAATTGCCGCATTGGCGTCCAAATAGCGTTGGATGGAGTTTAAAAAAGCTTTGTGTTCACTTAGTGATCCTGCTGGAGAATCATTGGGTTTGATTTCATCGGAAATACTGGAGTCAGCCTCTTCATTACTTATGGGCTTGTTCCAATAAGGAACCAGACCTGTAATACCAATGCCTAGCTTCGTCATCAAGTCTAAACCAATAGTCACTTGTGTATCTTCAGAAAGAGACATGACTTCAAAGGTATGTATAACCGTTTTGTTATTGTATTGAATTTTTATGTTGTTAACACTACCTTCTCGAGGTATGGTTACATCTTTTATAGCAACAATAATATGACCATCATTTTTAGGTGCTACAATTTCTAAGTTTATTTTGTTTACTAAACTTTTGTCTATGGATGATTTGTCTGCTCCAGTATCGAGGAGTGCCATCACTAGTCTATTTTGCAAGACAATGGGTACCATAATAGACAATTGATTATTATCTTGCTCTGTGAATTAGTATGCTGCAGTTTTTCCTGCTTACCCTTTTTATCTTTGGGATCAAGTTCATTTTCATTGATCGAAAGATATCTTGTTTGTTTTTTAATACGACTCATTCGAGCGCGCATTGTTCTGGTGGCTCTGGCCTCACGCATTTCGGGGCACTTGTGACCAAATTTGAATTGCACTTTCTTGCAATATTTGCAAGGATTGGTTATAGGAGCACGTGTTTCACCCATGTAACGGGACTTTTTGGTAACAAAGTTGCTGCCTTTGTTTTTCTTTCTCTTCTTGTTGTAATCCTCACTTTCTCCAGAGTCCTAGTCAGAACAAGTTGCAGGTTCACCCTCGGCAAGAGTCAAGACTGCTTGTATAACGGCGTCCAATGTGCTGGGAAACTGTAAGCCAAAATGGTTTGCAGCAACGTTCCACGCATGCTGGCGGTACTTCTTATTCAAAGAAGATAGGAAACCATATCCTAACTCTTCGTTGTCAGGTATTCCAGATGAGCAAGCGAGTTCCAAGTATCGATTTGCGTATTCTCATAACGCCTCATTGCTGTTTTGGGTTAATGTGAGCATCTTGTAGCATCGGTAGTAAACTTGGTACAGAGAAGAAAATGCACGAGAAAACTCGACTCGAAACTTGGTCCAATTCATGTCATGCCGTTGCATAGTTTTGACTAACCAAGCACGTCTTGTGGCATCACAAGTCAAAGGCATCAACCTTTTCCAATGCTTTTCGACGTTTATCGAATGTGCTTCTAACACATACACAAAGTCATCCAAGAACTACTCAGGCGAGTCATAAGACTTCCCTTTAGTAAACTTAGTGTGTCCTCGGAGGTTGAATACGGGTAAGTTCTTAGGAACTAAATGTGCTACTTTGGTATCATCTAGTGTCTTGTCCGAAAGAGCTTTCATTGTGTTAAGCCTTTCTTTCCAGTTTTCATAGGGGATAAGTTGGAATCGTTTCGTTTTCATTATTATCTACAAATAACCTAATAAACCTTGATGAAGAAAAACAATCTTAAATTATAATATAATTATAAAATATATTTGTTAAATATTAATAATATTATAAACTATAACTATCTTAATTTTTAAAAAAATATAAATATTTTATATTAAAATCTAGAAATAATTATATTTAGAATTTTTAGAGAAAAAAAGATTTTGATAATTAAAATTTACCTTAAAAATATAATGATATTGTTTTTATTAAAAACCTAAAAATATAAAAAATAATGAATACATAAAATTTATAAATTGTAAATAGTTTTTCTTTTTTTGTATAAATCTTTTATTTCCAACTCATGATATTTTTTATTAATTGTATTTAATTGTATTTATTTTCTTAATTTATTTAAATTTTTAAAATTTCTAATATAATATTTGTAAAAATAATATTGAAAATAAAATGTTTGGAATAATTAATTAAAAACTATAAAAATAAGAATAATCCTAATCTTTTATAAATCTTTTCCAATTTATAATTACAAAACTTTAATAAAAGTATTTATATTTACTAATTAAATAAAGTTCTTGTATCATCATAAAAACATTTTAAGTTACATTGATAAAATCCTTTAATATCAGGAAAAATATCTTCATATTTACTATACTTTTTAGGAATTATTATAACTTACTTATTTAATACCTATTTTGGTAAAAACAATATCCATTAGTAAAAAGATAAATATTTTCAAGGAATAATTTCATCAAAAACAAATAACTATAATAATTTATTTTTATTTTTCCTAATGGCTATATTATTTGTTATCCATAAATAAAAGTTTAAGTTAGGAATAATATAAAGGATTTGTATCACCTAAATGGTAGGATAAGATAAAATGATATACAGTACCTATAAAAAAGTTTATATATGTTTTTAATTTTCTATTTTTTTTTGTATTAGTTTAATATATCATTGATAATCTTTTTTAAATCTAATATACCTGCATTACAGACATATATTTTTTTTGGTTTAATTTTGTTTTTTGAAATCTTTTTCTTACCTTTTTTTCTTTTATAATCAAATTTTTTAATAATAAAATCTTCATTGATTATTTTATTCTTTCTTTTTTTAATTATGTGCTTTTTGCTATGTATACTACAAAGAAAATCAGGTTCTTATTTATTCAGATTAGTTCTTATTTTACGATGACACATATTTCCCTCCTTTTTACCTCTCTTATATATATATGTATATACATTAGGACTTGAATTTAAATACCAAAATTATTTATCTTTAACATAATTGATTTTTTCTTTTATTTTATTTTTCATAACTTCTTTATTCTTCTCAATTGTATCTACAAGAATCTCATCATCAAAATATTTCTCCATAACTTGATCCATAAGATTTTCAATAGATTTAACCATAGATTGTTTGCATACAAGAATCTCTGTATTAAGGATAACCATTTTTTATCAGCTTATATTAATGTGATTATTTTTTTATATTATAAAAAAGATTCAATTTTGTTTTTTCGATTTTTAAAATTTAGCTGATAATTAAAAATTTGGTAATAGCAAGTTATATAGTAATAAACCGATTAGTCCTCATAGTAGTTTTTGGCGGCTAAGAAAACTTGTTGGTCAGGGCAAGTAACCAGGCTCTGCAGTTATGCCTCTTTAAGATGAACTTGCTGTTCCAAGTAGGTACAAACTACTTTCGGGTCAGCGTCTGGACCCAGTTGTTCAGGCTTAATAAAGTCAGAACTGTCCTGTTGGTCAGGTGTTCATAGGTTACTGCTTGGGTTTTCCTCAAGCTGTTCGTGGTGTTGAACTTGGTCAACATCCATAGCAACAGAAGACTGAGCTTCCGTATAGGGGATAATGGGACCTGAATGGTTCCTAGTGTTTGGTTGGAAAGTAGTAGTGTCCATAGTGATGATTGCAGTTCCATAATTCAAACGAAAAAATGTGGTAAATCGAAATAAATAAAGACAAATAAGTCGTTTGAGAATGGATTATATTCAAAAGATTGAACAAAGTACAATATCAGCTATAGAAACTATCTTCTTTTATATCTAACTTTCAAACATTGTTTGAGAACTCGGTCTTAACAGAGAAACAGATCTGAAGGTAGAAAGCTTATCAACTTCTTTGTCAGCAAGGACCTTACTAGTGCTTTGCTGTAAGAACGAATAAAAAACTTTTATGATGGTTTAAGATATGTTATTAGACGGTTGTTTCATACTTGGTTTCTTTACTGAGTTATACGAAGGATTCACATTTCAATCTAGCTAGGTGCATATGTGCAACTGTGTCCTTTATTGGATCCCGGTGCGGTAAAGAGAAACCTTCTATCAAGACATCTGTCTGTACCGGATCTTAGTTTACCACATGTATGCTATCACATGCGCATCACCAAAGACGACTTCGATTGATTGGTATAATTTTTTTTATACAACTATACCACTGATATACAGAGCGAAATAGATCAACAATATTTGAAGTAATCATATAATCAGCATTTGATAAGCTATGAGTATTTCTGCCTTAACAGGAACGGATGTAATGGCATTACGGATAATGCTTATGCATAGGAGAAATAGTAAAAGACGAGCCAGCCTGATACCATTACTAAAGATGCTGTCCCTGGTTTGATATCTTCAGATGTACACTTAATGAGGGGGTGGATGACATTGGTGGGGTCAATTTATAGGAAGAGTGCTCAAAAGAAAAATTACTGGGAGAAAAAGCAAGTGCTCACTTCTTTAACATTTGACACTGCTACTTTTAAAAAACGATTTCTAACAAATCAGGTTGAACGGAATGTACGCGATCAAAGGTACAGCATCAAAAGTAGGGATAATTTTACTATAAGCGAATGAATGAGTGACAGAAAATTGCGGAAGTGAAGGGAAAGCTCAGAGTTATTTTTTTTCTTTCAATATAGTTGCCATTGCCTGTGCGCCATAATGTCTTGAACGATTTCCGACCTAAGCGATTGAAAGAGTGGATAATTTGCTGACACGACCCTTTCTAAGCAGCAGCAGAATAAGATAAAATAAAGCAGCTTTATAAGCTATATAGCAGAAGAGATAGAGAAAAGTGCGGCTTTTACTCGGTTGGCTTTTTGCATACAGAACAACTGATAAAAGTGTTATGTCGGTTCCACAGAGATCGCAAATGCATTGACGAACACAGTGTTGGGAACGTGGAAGGATGCACTTGTTAAACGCGACGGCATTAATAAAGCGAAAGGAAAAGGTAAAAACAAGCAGTTTACCATGTTGCTTTAAAGTATAGTATGATTTAAATCTCAAGGATGCCTATAGAGTACAATGCCACTACCGGCGCTGTTCTATTTACTACGACCAATGCATGAGGGCAACGACGATTCGTGTTTTACTTCTTCATATGAAGAGCATAGGGAATGGAAAGAGTAATATCAACTATCAGCAAGTATTGAGTGTCTATCCTATGGAGTAAGTGAATGCACCAACTTTATACTGTATAATATATGTATGTGTTTGTATGTGTCTTTGTGTGTATAGTATTACCTTCAGTTTGGCTAGTAGTGTGCGGTGTATTTGAAATGAGGCAGTTACAAGCAGCTGCTTCCCTTTTTTTCACCTATCCCTCAACAATAGGCACGTCAAGTTTATGAATCCCTCTACAATTGCCATATATTGCATTCCTTTAGGCATTAGCTACAACGACTTTATTATAAACCAAGACTTTTGATTATAAATGACTACCTTTAAACCTTTTATTATATGTAGTATATAAAAATGCTTAAATTCTGTTCCCCCTATTCTTCCCTTCAGTTTCGCACTTTCTTTCGCATTCCTTAACAATCTACCAATTACAAAGCTAACTATGAGAATTGCAATGGAAATAAAACAGATCAAACGGATCAATCCAGAATGGCACCTTCCAATCCGTTTTGAATCCGGATCGCTCAAGCTCAATCTGAATCCATTCCGATCCGTAAAAGCCCTCGCTCGAATCCGGTTTCTTCTCATTCGAAACGAAACGGATCGACGAATCCGGATTCAATGCCGGTCCCTACTGACCAATCATTGTCTTTACTCATTAGATATGCCCTGTGTCCACCTTGTTCTAACATATCAATGTTATATGTTTTTCCAACATTTGATGGACCGACAATCCAGTATTGTGGTATTTTGTTTTTACCGCTAAATGTAGTTTCAATACCAAACATAGACCACATATCTACTATTAAAAGAGAAGTGGTGCTTACTATAGTTACCCATTTTTGGAAATCCTGATCCTGTTTTGGAAATTGTGATGCTGCTAAGCCCCGGCTGTCAGTATAACTTTTTTTTGCGCTGAAACTGGGATAAACCACTGCTCTTCCCTCACTTTTTCCTTCTGCCCACTGAATTCTTACACCACTATTTTCTCTTTTAAAATGAGTTTGCAACAAGTATGACACCGCATATTAGATTCTTCTTAGAAGATTTGACAACATTGTTCAGCGCACAGCGCGCATTAGTTTCAAATGAACAATCGTTTTGAGTATTTTGAGTATAAAGCAAATAATAACCATATATTTCCCGCTTTAACAGAATGACCAAGACCAAATAAACGTGCTTACCTGTGTTTGTGGCTCAACTAGCCATTTGACCGAAAGTCATCACGATTGTCCTTTGAATGAGCGTAACGTACGCCGTAGAATTGATAATGATGTATGTTTGTTATCTTTAATAGCGTGTTTGGCGGCTATAGTTATTAGTAAACAAGCGAAGCGAGTTTGCTCAGGATTTAGATAGAGGCGCCGGAGGGGGTGCGGGCAGTGTTGGGGAAACGCCCCACAGGAGGATCTACGGGAGGGAACATCTTACAAATCGTCTACAAGATATCGTCTTCAAGATGTATTTCTTTGTTGGTTGTTTCTTAACACAATTGTATATATGTAGGACATGCATATTGTCTTTGAGCAGTTGGATTCTCATGCAAGTCAGCGCCAACGTTGCCGTTGTGGGTCTACCACACATCAGCGAGTAACGCATCGCGATTGCCCCCTTAATCGGAACAATCAAGGTATAGAATCTAACCATGCAGTATCTAGAGCTATGTGTGTTGTGTATTTGTGAAGCACATTACTTATGTGTGCATTGTAGGGAATGTCCGTGTCTGCGCGAGCTGTAATGCGCCTGGCCACTCTCGACGAACTTCTGAAGACTGTCCTTTCAATGATGCAAACATCCGATCTGAGCATGGGGCACAGTATCAAATAGCGTGCACTGTTCCTTTCGTTCCTGAAGATGTGTTTGGCCCCAGCATTTGTTTTACACCGGGAGAAAACTTTCACCGACATGTGCTTTCTCGCATGGCTGCTGTTTGTACGTTTTGTCAGGCACGTATGTGGATTGAGGAGCGCATTGCCAGCTCTTCAAACTCAAACCCACGTTTCAGTATTTGCTGCACTCACGGAAAAATACAGTTACCTATCCCTCGCCCTCCGCCACAAGAAATCATCGACCTGTTGACCAGCGGAAACGACGATTTCTTTACTAACATTCGCGCTTATAACAACATGTTTGCATTTGCGTCCATTCGAGCAAACTATGATCGCAATTTAGCTGACGGATCGCAAGGTGTTTCAACTTTCCGCATAAATGGCACGATGTACCATTGCATGGGTGCTTTACGACCAGAGCAGCAGCAATCAGCCAACTTTGCTCAAATATATTTTGCCGATACGCAAGAGCAACTGATGAGAAGACAGACGTTGTTCACTGGACTCAACAGTGAGACGATAGCTGTGCTTCAGGGCGTTATGGAGAGATGCAACCCGTACGCACAGACCCTTATGAATGCTGCTGAATCATATCGTGACACACCTTTTGGAACACTACAGGTTGTCATCCGTTCTGCACGTGAAATGGGTAGACGCTATGACCAGCAGAGTTATCCAGAGGTCGCCGCTATGATTGTCGAAGATACAGTGGATGGCGCAACATCGCCTCACGACATTGTCATCTGTGATCATCAGTTAGGTTTATAGACCATCAGTTCACTCCATGCATCCTATATGCCCCTCTACTACGTGCTTATATTTCCTTTTGGTGATGATGGTTGGTTTGCTAGAATGCAGTGTGAAAGTACTGACCGCCAGACCACTACCGTTACATTGCTTGAATTCTGTTCGTATATGCTCATGATCCGTGATGGAGAACGAGCGAGTTACCAGCACCATTTCCGTCGTCTTCTCCAACAATTGGCTGTTGACAATTATGCGCGCATCGAGTATTCTCGCCTTCAGTATATCACCAACAATCAGAATGATTTACGTGCTGAGGTTTACAATGGTATCGGTGACGATGTAGATCCACGTCAGATTGGTCGAGCCATTATTTTGTCATCATCTTTTACTGGAGGCCCATGGTACATGAAGCAGATGCTTCAGGATAGACTTGCAATCATTCGACAAAGAGGCAATCCAACCCTTTTCATTACGTTCACCTGTAATCCACAGTGGCCAGAAATTCAAGCTGAGCTCCTTCCAGGTCAGCAGGCATTTGATCGTCCTGACATCTGTTCGAGAGTCTTCCATATGAAGATCACTGAGATGTTATCGCACATCAAAGAAACCAGTTGCTTTGGCCGCATCGAGGGGTATGTTGCAACCGTTGAGTTTCAAAAACGTGGCTTACTACACCTGCACATCCTACTCATCCTACACCATGAAGACCATCCCCGCAATCCTTCTGACTACGATCGTTTCGTCTGCGCCGAGTTGCCAGATCCTAACACCCAGCCTCAACTGTACGCCACAGTCACAAGATCGATGATACACAGACCATGTGGAGATCTTAAACGGGACGCTGTTTGTATGAAAGATGGACGATGCTCGCAAGGTTATCCCAAAGCATTCGTTGCTGAAACGCGCGTAAGCAGAGACGGCTATCTAATCTATCGTAGACGCGAAAACATTCAACGTCGCCATCACTTTCACCGATCCAACTTT